TTTTTCTCTTACTTCTTTTTCAAGTCCAAGCACTTGATCATCACCATGGCATCATCATCATCATGTCATGATCTTCATTTGCTTCATCACTTGAAGTAGTGCTACCTATCTACCTATCTCATAATCACTTTGATAAACTAGGTTAGCACTAAGGGTTTCATCAATTCACCAAAACTAAACTAGAACTTTCACATGGATATATTATTTATTTTCAATTGTTAGATCATCACAAAATCTAACAGTGTATATTGTTTTTTTTCTTTTTTGGTTAATCTTGTAATTTTTAGGCCTTATATTTGACATGAATACTATTTGTTCTTGGCCAATAGATCATCGTAAAAATCTAATGGTGTATACCTCTTCTTTTTCTGATTAATCTCATAATTTCTAATCTTGTGTTTGACATGGATACTCTATTTGTTACTCCCCCTTCCAAATTATATGTCACTTCGACTTTTTTGGTACATAGGTTTCACTATTTCATACGTTATACCTAGATACGTAGTAAAACTGATGTACAAAAAAGTCAAAACGACTTATGATTTGGAACGGAGGGATTATTAGCCATTAGAGCATCATAAAATACAATGGTGTATATTTTTTTCCGATTACTCTCAAAATTTATAGGTCATGCATTTGATATGGATACTATACTTGTTCTCGCTTGTTAGATCATCTTAAAACCTAATGATGCAAATTCTTTTCTTTTTTGATTAATCTCGTAATTTCTAGGTCATGTATTTAACATAGATACTCTATTTGTCCTTGGCCATTAGATCATAGTAAAACCAACGGTGTATTTTTTCTGATTAATCTCACAATTTCTAGGCCTTTGTATTTGACATAAATACTCTCTTTATTCTTAGTCGTTAGATCATTATAAAAATCTAATGGTGCATATTCTTTTTTATTAGAATTACACAGTACAACGCAGACGCTCACAACACGCACGTACAATCACCTCTACGAACACACGTGCGCAAACCCTACCTCTATGAGAATATAGTAGATTTTAACTCTTGTATTTTATCTGGATATTCTATTTATTCTTGGTCATTAGATCATCATAAATCCAACTATCCATATTTTTTCCTAATACTCTATTTATTCTTGACCATTAGTCACAAAATCCAACGGTGCATTTTTTTCGATACACTACTTATCCTCGGCTATTATATCATCATAAAATCCACCGACATATTCTTCTCTTTTTCTGATTAATCTCATAATTTCTATACCCTCTCGGTGAACATAGGGGCTCCTTTTAATTCTATTATATTAATTAGTGGATAAGTAGCAACCTCAATTTATTTTTCTCTCTAATAATTTCTTATACTCCCTCTATCCTCAAATAAATCAATTCATATAATCTATGTCAGTCAATTTTTTTTAAGTTTGACTAACTTTATAGAAAAGAGTAACAACATCTCATAAAATGAGCATCTTATGAAAATATATTCTATGATAAATCTAATGATATTAATTTGATACCATAAATTTTGGCATTTTTTCTAGAAATTCGGTCAAAGTTTAAAAGTTTAACTTAAGACAACTCTAGAAATCTATTTATTCAGGACAGAGGGAGTATTAACTTCCTAAACGGTTTTGCATTGGGAACTCTAAATTATTTCTAACTAACCAAACCTCGTTTAATAGTTTATTCGTCTCTTACCATTTTCTCACGTGGATCCCTTTATTTTTTTTTAATTTACTCTGACCTCCTGAAAAAACGTCGAATGGGGCGCGGATACGGAGTTCCTTTCGACTATGGAAACTTATGAGTTGGAGGATATTTGACAACTTTTTATTTTTAAGGAGCTCTGTTACCAAACTATTGGAGGAGACTTTTTCCTTTTTGGTAAAAAAATCAAATAGGGAGGGGACTTTTTCCTTTTTGGTAAAAAATCAAATAGGGAGTTGCTTTACAAAATTCCTTCATATGCTCTCGGATTATCTTCTAGAGTTTCCAAAACTCACTCGCAATCTTGATTTTTTAGCAAGATTAAAAAATGCTTTCCAACAACTCCTTATCTGAACTCCCCATCTGCAGAAATTTACGCACGCGTGTATAGATCGGTGAATCTGGAGGTGAAAGGACCGCTGATGTGCATCAGAGGTTTATGATGAATGATGAACGTAGCGTCCAGTTGCCAAGGTTGGCAAATTCGAACAACGCAGGTGCCCGGTGCGGTCCGTGTAAATTGCTAAGCTGGCAAGATCCGGCCCAAGAAGGGCTTCGACGGTTTACCTCTGGCCCAAATGCACACAAATGTTCTCCTAAGTCCTGGCGCGGGTTTGCGCATTGGGCCTAGACTCGCTTTCAGGAACCTTTCTTGTCCGGTCCAATTCCAATCGAGCCCTTCCCGATCGGCGTTGCCCCAATATAAGCCTCCTCTATCCTCGATCGTTGATCTCTTACCATGTGTTTGGTTTGCGGGTTCAACTGGGATATCCCGGGTTCGTCCCAGATGATCTGTTGTTTGGTTCTACAATCAGTGGGTTGGGTTCATCCCGCACAAGGTATATTCTCTCTAGATGCGGGTTCGTTGGGTACCTCCAAATCGGAGAAATCATCTCGACCCAGATGGACGTCGTTGCATCTCCGTTGGCGAGCGCAAACGCGGATTGCTCGGATGCTTCTCCATCGCCGGCATGGGCGACCTCCGGCACCCAGTGATGTCCGGATGCTTCGGCCATGGCGCAGCTCCGTGCGACCTCCGGCTCCCGGCCCCCGCCCTCCGACGCGGGACGAGCCCCTGGCCCTTAGCCCTCGACGGACGTTGCATCGACTTGCATCGACGGACGTTGCGTCCGTCCGTTACCTGCAGCCATCCATGCGCTGGGAGGAGCGGCCTGGCCGGTGCGGCGAGGAGGGAGCGAGCGGCGCCCGACGGAGGGAGGGAGGGAGCGGCCAGCGGAGGCGGCGAGGAGGCGGCAGGGAGGGAGGGAGCGCCGGGGAGGAGTCGGGGAGGCAGCGCCCGGCGTCGGGTGGAGCTGGAGGCGGCACGGCGTCGGGGAGGAATTGGGGAGACAGCCCGCATCGGAGGGAGAGCAGGGGCCTCATGGGAGAAGCCAGGAGAGGAGCCGTGCGGGGAGGAGGAAGAAGGTAGAAGAGGAAGTGAGGAAAAAAGAAGAAGAGGTTGACTGGTGGGCCCCGCAGCTGACAGGTGGGGTCCAGAACTAACGGTGTTAAAAGGACATCCATCCCAACCCTCTCAACCTCTTCAACCAAACAAAAGACTGGGTCGGCTCCAACCCACTCATCCAAACACAAGATGGGTCGGCTCCGACCCATAAAAGTGGGTCGGCTCCAACCCAACCCACGTCGTCCCAAAACCAAACACATGCTTAGTTTCTCCCCCCATCCCAGAGGGAAAGCAGCACCCCCAGCTCCGCCTCGCCGACGTCGTCTCGCCTGGCCCTGCCTCACGGACACGGTCACGGCCAAGGCTCCCGTCTGCCCCTCACCTTCGTTTCCAGGTAAAATGGCGCACTTTCTGATCGATCCCTCCTCAATTATCTCTCTCGTGCTTCCTTCTAGAGTTCTCGTTGTTCCTGTGGGTTACTGTTATATAGGGCATCGTTCCTGTTGTGGCGTTGGTTTCGACGATGTGATTAAATTTGGGTGTTCCTTTCTGATGTTTTGTGCGCAATGCTCTGTTGATCTCTATCCAAGCGCTAGGTTAGTAGGCTGTTGATTGCCACCAGGGTTAGGGGGTTTTCACACGACACTTTTTGGTGCGGTTTGGGATGAATTTTTAGTCGATCTGTTGCCTAATTGGTGATTGCTGGAGACGCGTCTATAATTTTATCGATTTATTTTCTGCCTAGTTCGTTAGGCACCCCAAGATCAAATGTATAACTGACACGGAAGTTCTCATCATACTAATAATGAACACGTGATTATGAACACGTGATAGGATCAGCTAAGTACCTGTTGTTCTGAGACTTTGTTTGTGTTTCTCTTTTGTCATACTTCTTCCTCATGTTCTCCCTATTTTGTTGTTTTTTATTTAAACTAATTAAGCCTGTGATACTTTAATAACAACTGTGTATTTGCATTCTGCTTTTGCTATATCGTGGCGTGGGTAGCATTTTAGTCTATGTTTAGACAATGAGAACTTACCACGATGCTTGGGCACACTGTGTATGCGCTAACAGATTGTAAGTTGTTAACTGAACAATAACTTAAGTAGTGTTACGGATGTGGCAAGTTGGCATAGTTTGATGACCAGCGTAATACATCTTTGATTGATTGATATATGGTTTTTATAATGTTGTCCTATTATAGATTTACTGAATTCCTGCACTGTGATTTTTTTATTTCTGGTGTTTGTGAACTGGTCACACCATCTTTTAAATTTTACACGTTATATTTTGAATTTAATATTAGTTTAGCTATTTATACATGCAACCATGCTTAAGGATATCTGTCATTCTTGGTGTAGTGGTGAGAGCTGTCTCATTGAGTCACCAGGTCGCGGGTTCAAAGCAGCCTCTCCGCAAATTTTGCGGGGGGAAGGCTTGCCTCGGTTTTCCCCTTCCTTAGACGCCACTCATGTGGGAGCCTCTGGCACTGGGTCTGCCCTTTTATATTTCTCACACTATATTTATAGGGCTATGTTTTCTTTTAGTAACATGATCCAATCATTTATATTCTGCTAGGTTAACGTTCTTAGAATTTGGTAGGAATTTGTTTATTTTTACTGTCAGTTTATATAAAAGTCAATGGTTAAATGCTGCAAAAACCTTTGAACTCCTTGACTTGATGCACATGATAGATGTGCCACATAATGTCAAAGGAAGTTGAAGAAAATAGGTGTCTTTTTTGTGTAACAGTGTATATTGATTTTTTTCAACATTCTGTTAAACTACTTTAAAATTGAAGTTGCTTTGCATGTTTTGTTACCCACTTTTCATTGAGGTATATTGTAATCAGACATTTTGATTTTGTAGAGTTCAAGAGATCCAAATAGGACAAGGCTAAACAAGAATCAGCCATGCAAACATCCCGCTTTTGGTTATCACAGGTACCACATTTCTCATTTCTCACATACTATAAATTTATGCCTTACAGAAGATTACTTTTCTTGATTAATATTGGTTTCATTGCCTTTGTCCTCCTTTTCTCAATTTCAGGGAGATAGTGATTCTGACTCTGATGATGAGGAGAGTAAATCTGAGGAATTTTTTTCTGATGTTGCCCTTCCACCAACTAGGAGGGATGATGATGGCCTTAGAAAATACTTAGTCAGCTCAAGTGACAGTGATGAATTGGATACTCATCGTGTGGTGCGGCCATTGAAGGTGAAACTTAATGAGGAGATGTGGTCCACTGTTGAACAGATACGAAATGCAATGAAGATCAATGATTGGGTTAGTCTCCAAGGTTGCTTTGAGAACCTCAACAAACAGCTAGAGAAAGTGGTTCGTGTAAGTGAGTTCAACAAGCTTCCAAATGCATACATCCTCGCTCTTATGTTGCTAGAGGACTTTCTCATCGAGTCATTGGCAAATAATAAGGAAGCCAAGAAGAAGATGAGCAACAGCAACTCAAAGGCACTCTATTCAATGAAGCAAAATCTTAAGAGGAACAACAGGCAGTATTCTGAGCTGATACTGAAATGCAGAGAGAATCCAGAGTGTTTTAACAAGGAGGATGCAAATGACAATAGCAAGGATGATAGTGTTGATGATTATGATGATATTGAAATAAATAGGTTGTCATCTAATGAGGGGAAGGATGATAATCAGGAAGGCAACCAGAAGGAAGGACCAGGGGAAATGGAGAAGGTCGAGAAGGATAAGCTCATGGACAAGCAGTTCCCTAAAGACCCAAGTGAGATTACTTGGGAGATTGTTGATAATAAGCTGAAGGAAATTGTAGCATCAAGAGGCAGGAAAGGCACTGGGAGGGTTGAAAGGGTAGATCAGCTCATGTTCTTGACTTGTGTGGCAAAAACACCTTCTCAGAAGCTTGAAGTTCTTTGCCATGTGATTTCAGCTCAGTTTGACATCAATCCTAGCTTGCTTGGTCATATGCCAATCAATGTGTGGAAGAGCTGTGTTAACTATATTCTTCATGTGCTTGATATCCTGCAGCAACATCCTAATATTGTGATTGGCAACTTAGTTGAGCCTATGGAGGAGATTAGTAATGGTGCTGATTATGATGGAACTATCCATGTGTCAGGTGATTTGGTTGCTTTCATTGAGAGACTAGACTCTGAGTATTTCAAGAGTTTGCAGTGCACTGATCCACACACAAAAGATTATGTTGAGAGGCTGAGGGATGAGCTGTTGTTTATGGTTGCTGCACAAAATATACAGGTTTACCTTGAAAAAGTTGGGAACTTCAGGGCTGCTGCTAAGGTTGCACTGCGTCAAGTTGAACTGATTTACTACAAACCCGAAGAAGTATATGGTGCAATGAGAAACCTGGCAGAACAGGCAGAAAATGAAGATGGGGATGCAAATGCAATTGATGGATGTAGCGGGCCAACTCCATTTATTGTAATTTCAGAGGTCGTGAATAGAAGACCTATTTTTCCTCCAAGTAGTAGAGCTTTGATGGATGGATTGACATCTCTAATTTATAAGTATGGCGATGAAAGGACAAAAGCCAGAGCAATGCTATGTGACATATACCACCGTGCAATCTCTGATGAATTCCCAGTTGCTCGTGACTTGCTATTAATGAGTAATTTGCAAGATGGAATCAAGCTTATGGACATATCTTCACAGATCTTGTTTAACAGAGTCTTTGCGCAGCTGGGTCTTTGTGCTTTCAGGGCTGGACTGATAACTGAATCCCATGATTGCATATCTGAGTTATATGCAACTGGGAGAGTTAGAGAATTGCTTGCACAGGGTGTCCATTATGGCCGTTATCATGAGAAAACTCCTGAGCAGGTATTGATAATCCTCTCATTCTCCCCTACAAAATATACATGCATGTACACCCATAGTTCACTGAAAGAAACACTTACGAGATATCTGAATATTTATTTATGCTTTTGCGACGGTCTTGTTTTTAATTTTTTTGTTAAGTGTGCTGATTTCCTTTCTAGTGAATTAATATTGGGTAGATATGCCAAGTGAAGCATCCTATCAGTTCACTATTTATTTGTTGTAAACTCAGCCTTTCCTTCTTGGCCCTGAAACTTTTGAACTTACCAATTTGACCTCAAATCCATCTTTCCTTTTTTTGGCCTTACCGTCAGTTTAGCCATGCAATGGTGTTAAATGGGAGTGAAAAGTCTATTTTACCCCTGAGCGTGAAAGTAACATTAATGACATTGTAGATGCTTGTATATAGTTTGTATATGTTTCCTTTTGAGCATTATTTTGACTTCTTTCGCACGGTTTTAGATCAGATCATAATTGCACAAAATATGCACACATTGTTTCAAGCACCAAGCGAATTCCACATATAAATTAGCCCACACAAACATAACATCAATTAAACAGCAAATGGTCTTACACATGAATAAGTTTTGTTCAAACATATCTCCAATAATTGTACAAATAATCAGTCATCATAGTTGTTACAAACTGAAAATACTAGTCCAATAATAACTAATCCCTGTTAGTCGCTGAATTCTTATCCTTGGTAGTAGCAGAATTCTTACTCTTATCGAGAGAGGATGACACTTAGAGTTGGGGCAATTTTCTGGTTTATTTCTCACACAAATGCCATACTAACCTGAAGGGTTGGGGATACATATTTATAGGCTGCTAGCCAGCCAAGCACATGCCAAGATGCTAGATGTTGTCCTAGTCAGTCAAGAATGCTGTCCTTGATGGGCAGCAAGACCACCATGCAGCCACAAGGACCATATGCTGCAGCCCCACAAAGACCAGCCCACACAGAGACCAACACAGAGACTTATCCCATCATTCTCCCCCTAAGTCTTGTGCGTCGTCTTGTGGGAAAGTTGAACCATCCCGGTCCTAGAGCAGAGCTCAAGGAATTTGATCCTCCCAAGAGGCTTGGTAAGCAGGTCCGTAAGCTGGTCCTTGGTGTTGATGTAGCTCGCCTTGATGCTCCCTTCCTCCAAACAGCCTCGGATGAAGTGGTACCTCACCCGGATGTGCTTACTCCGTTCATGGAAAATGGGGTTCTTTGCCAGGGCCAGAGCGGACTTGCTGTCCATCCTGAGCTCAACCGCTCTAGTGTCTCTGCCGAGGAGATCACCAAGCAGTCGAGCGAGCCAGAGCGCCTGAGTCGAAGCGGTGGAGGCCGCTATGTACTCGGCCTCGCAGCTGGATAGGGCCACCACCTATGGATGAAAACGGTACGGATATTTATTCGACCGTCCGTTCGACCGAACAAATATGAACACTTATCTGGATAGTTACTCGGATATCCGTAATTTTTTTCGGATACGGATACTAAAATGGATATCTTAGGCAGATATCAAATACGGATGTAATATCATCGATATCCGGCGGATATCGGATAATCCGGATAAGTATCGGATATATCCGGATATTTAAAAACGGATATTATCCGGATATTATTCAAACGACCTTGGATGGAGAAATGATCAAAATAAAAATTGTAGATCTCAAAAAGTTATGAAACTTTGTTGTTTACAACTTTTTCGTTTGAAATCATTTAGTGCTTCAAAATTTAAACCGTCCAAACTTTCTCAAATGGAAAACTAGTTTATAGGCGTTAAAATTTAAAAATCATAAATTTGAACCATCCAAACTATCTCAAATGGAAAGTTGACCAAAACAACAATTGTAGATCTTGATGATTTGAACAAACTTGGTATTCAAAACTTTTCAATTTGAAGTCATTTAGAGTTCATAATACTAGAGTCAAAGTGTTGTTTTTTCATTTGACCAAATTTGACTTGGTCAAACTTGCTCAAATGAGACACTAAATGACCTCAGATGAAAAAACTCTGAATACCAAGTTTGATCATCTCAGCAAGATCTACAATTGTTACATAGCTCATTTTCCCATTTGAGAAAGTTTTATCAAACACTAGTCACAAATTCTTGAATCTCATATAGACTTTCTGAAACTATGTCACACACTTGTGAAATTTGAACTATATTTTGTTCAAACTTTCTCAAATGAAAAAATGGCCTATGTAAGGATTGTATATCTTGATGAGATGAACAAATTTGGTATTCAAAACTTTTAAATTTGAGACAATCTAGGGTTTCGAAAACTAGTTTGTAAACGTCGAAATTTAAAAATCACAAATTTGAACCATCCAAACTATCTCAAATGGAAAGTTGACCAAAACAACAATTGTAAATCTTGATGAGTTGAACAAACTTGGTATTCAAAACTTTTCAATTTGAAGTCATTTAGAGTTCATAATATTAGAGTCAAAGTGTTGTTTTTTCATTTGACCAAATTTGACTTGGTCAAACTTGCTCAAATGAGACACTAAATGACCTCAGATGAAAAAACTCTGAATACCAAGTTTGATCATCTCAGCAAGATATACAATTGTTACATAGCTCATTTTCCCATTTGAGAAAGTTTTATCAAACACTAGTCACAAATTCTTGAATCTCATATAGACTTTCTGAAACTATGTCACACACTTGTGAAATTTGAACTATATTTTATTCAAACTTTCTCAAATGAAAAAATAGGCTATATAAGGATTGTAGATCTTGATGAGCTGAACAAACTTGGTATTCAAAACTTTTCAATTTGAGACAATCTAGGGTTCTGAAAACTAGTTTGTAAGCATCGAAATTTAAAAATCATAAATTTGAACCGTCCAAACTATCTCAAATGGAAAGTTGATCAAAACAAGAATTGTAGATCTTGATGAGTTGAACAAACTTGGTAATCAAAACTTTTCAATTTGAAGTCATTTAGAGTTCATAATACTAGAGTCAAAGTGTTGTTTTTTCATTTGACCAAATTTGACTTGGTCAAACTTGCTCAAATGAGACACTAAATGACCTCAGATGAAAAAACTCTGAATACCAAGTTTGATCATCTCAGCAAGATCTACAATTGTTATATAGCTCATTTTCCCATTTGAGAAAGTTTTATCAAACACTAGTCACAAATTCTTAAATCTCAAACAGACTTTCTAAAACTATGTCACACACTTGTGAAATTTGAACTACATTTTGTTCAAACTTTCTCAAATAAAAAAAATGGCCTATATAAGGATTGTAGATCTTGAATCCATGACCATGACTCCATGAGACCCATGAAGCAATGAGCTTGGCTATTTCTACTCATGCCGCGAAGATTGGTGCTTGTATGATGTTTGATGTATGATGTATCTGTATCTTTATCTTATTTGTTGCTTTATTCTTTAGTCTTTCGGCTTAATCTAGATGGATTATGGACTCATAGAGTGGTGTAATGGTTTGCGCACGTATGATATATATATATATATATATGCTGCTTTTACTCAATATCCGAATAGATATTTGTATCCGACCTTCTCCGAATTCGATTCATACCGTATTCGATACTCATTATTCGTATCCGTAACCGAGTCAATCCGTATTCGTATATGTATCCGAACGCTATCCGTGTCCGAATCCGAATCCGAACAGAAATATGAAAACAAATATAATATAAGTGATATCCGTTCGTATCCGATCCGTTTTCATCCCTACCACCACCTGCTGCTTGACTGACTGCCAGCTAACGAGGCACTTGCCGAGGGAGGAAGAGGATCCCGCTCGTGCTCTTGCTGGTGTCGATGTCGCCGGCGTGGTCGCTGTCGCTGTACCCGACGAAGTGTGCCGCCCTACGGCACCTAGGGTAGTAGAGGCCGTGGTCGAGAGTCCCTGCAACGTAGCGGATGATCCTCTTCACAGCCTGCTGGTGCTCCGTCGTCGGTCGCTGCATGAACCGACTAACGTAGCCGACGGAGAATGCCACGTCTGGCCGTGTGTGGGCGAGGTAGCGAAGGCTCCCCACAAGACGCCGGTACTGCGTAGCGTCCACCTCCTCCGTCGTGCTGTCGCGGCTCAGCTTTAGCCTCTCCATCGGAGTGAGAGCTGGGTTGCAGTCGGTGAGCCCAGCTAGCTCAACGACACGCTTGGCGTAGGTGGTCTGTCGAAGCGTGATCCCGGAGTCGTCCTGGTGCACCTCGATTCCCAGGTAGAAGGAGAGATGCCCCAGGTCACTCATCTGGAAGGTGGCCTTCATCTCTTCCTTGAATGCCGCCACCTCCGCATCCTTGGTGCCGGTGATCACCAAGTCGTCGACATAGACACCCACCAACAGAGCATTTCCTCCACTGCCCCGTCGGTAGATGTCCGCCTCGTGCGGGCTTTGCTCAAAGCCATCCCCTTTAGCGTGGAATCCAACTTGGCATTCCATGCCCTCGGTGCCTGCCGCAAGCCATAAAGGGCCTTACGCAGGTGGAGCACCTTGCCCTTCTTGTCGGGGATTGCAAATTCCGGCGGCTGGTGCACGTAGACCTCCTCCTTCAAGTCATCGTTAAGGAACGCCGACTTGACGACCATGTGATGAACACGCCAGCCCTTCTGGGCAGCTAGTGCAAGGAGTCGCACGGACTCCATCCGTGCCACAGGAGCAAAGGTGTCGTCGAAGTCGACCCCCTCCTGCTGCACGAAACCTCGTGCCACCAAGCGAGCCTTGTGCTTGACGATGGCGTCGGCTTCATCCCTCTTCAGCTTGTACACCCACTTAAGGGTGATCGCGCGGTGACCATGAGGAAGGTCAGCAAGCTCCCAGGTGCGGTTCTTCTCAACCGCATCCATCTACAACTGCATCGCGGCGCGCCATGCCGCGTGTCTCTCGGCCTCTGCAAACGACCGAGGCTCGCCGTCGTCACACGCAAGGTGCAACTGCGCCTCCAGGTCGTGAGGCACCAGTCCCGGCACCGGCTGGTTGCCGAGAAGGTTCTCCATCGTACGGTACTGCAATGGCTCGCCGTCGT